TTTCTTTCTTTCTTTCTTTCTTTCTTTCTTTCTTTCTTTCTTTCTTTCTTGCTTGCTTGCTTGCTTGCTTTCTTTCCTTCCTTCCTTCCTTCCTTCCTTCCTTCCTTCCTTCCTTCCTTCCTTCTTTCTTTCTTTCTTTCTCTTTCATTACTACAGAGATTTAATATGGCTTCCAAATAAACTCCACCTGAAACTGGAGATATGTCTTGTTTTTAGGAGAAAGCCACTCCTGACAAACTAAATGTGACAAAAAGAGTCACAAGATCATTTTGAAGTCCCAAGCATATTGATTCTCTGAGCAGATATTGTATGAGCTATTTTCAAAGCTGTAATTTGATGTTATCACTGTTCATTTCACCTATGAGATTTCAGTTTCATTACCCTCAAGCATTTACACCAATAGATGAGTGTAGCAATATGGAAAAAGCATACATATATGGATAATCAAAACTCTTTCCTATTTGTCATTGAAATGTTTAATATTATTTTCCTCAGTCAAATCACCTTCCTAATTATGTTCTCCTTTAGCTAATATTAAAAGTAGTTGTAATTGACATGCCCTCATTTGACAAGCAATGGAAGGAAATTAATTTCAGATTTTGATAAATCCACCAATAATCCACAAATTACATAATCCGTATACAAATCAGATAATTTTCTACATAATGACTTGCATTAAATGATACATTTTTATATATTAATATACTTGTATGAACTGCATGTGTATTCTTATTCCTACCCTTAATGAACCTCAAAGGTATAAATCTTGTGTGTGTATGTGTGTACCCACACTTTATTCTAAGGCTTCATCCCCTTGAGGCTAGAGTGAACTATCATTATTTATGTGGATACTTATGAGATGACCACAGAAAATGTGACTAAAACAGTTTTCATTTTTATTCACTAAAATAATATTAATAATTTTAAATAAATATTTCATATTTTAAATAAGCTAATATAGAAAATTCAGAATTAAGATGATCACATTTTTCCAAAGTATAAAATTAAAACTACAATTGGATAATATTGGGCAATAGAGACAGAATTTTAGTAATTACTTATTCTTACACAAACACATGTACTGTACAGTAAAATGAAGATAATTATTTGGCCATCAGCAAAGTAAACCTTGTATGCTACTATGGCTTGAGTAATTACTATTTTATATTTTGTACAAATAATCAATTAAAGGTGATATACGTCTGATGAATTATATGGTTGTTTTTGCAGTTATGTAAATGCAGCCCTGAAGCTCCTGCAGGCAATCCATTTCAGAACCACCATGAAGAGGACTATCTTGTAATTGATGGGGTAAAATTAAAGGCTGGAGAATGCATTGATAATATAACCAACAAATTTAAAGAAATAGATGATTTGATGTCTGAATTTTAGGGCATTATACATATTTCAAAAGTAAATTCTGAAAACATTGGCATCTTTATATTTTTCCTGAAGTTATAAATTATAAAATGTTTGGTGAACTAGGTATACATTATACAGAAGTTGATAATTCTAATAACTTCTTGCTTTATAATTTGAGAATGTCCATGGTTTTGAGAGCCAAACAAATGGTATTTCAGTTAGGGTTAAAATATTAGAATTAAAAACCCTAGTATTTATGGATTTTTTGTCTGCCTTAATTTTAAAATATTTTAAGAAATATATATCATAAACATGAGTTTTCAATGGTTATTTAGGTCCTTTATTTAAATGTGACTAAGTAGTAAAATGACTATCCATAATAGTATTAATTACTATTAAAATTCTTAGAGATAATTTAAATGTACAATGAGAATATGTTT